CCACACCAAAAAAGTGCTTGTGTGCTCAAAAATTTGTGTCAATTACCTGCCTGTATCATCCTAACAAACGTTATGGTTTAGCCTTACCAGGAAATTAAGTACCACTCAATTGCTCAATCACGTCCCTCCCCTCCTGCAGTGCAAGAAGAGAAAGGAGGAAAAAAAGTAACACGAACAAGGAAAGCTCATAAAGTTTAAATAATTATTTAATAATATAAATGGAAATTACAGTGATACTAACAGTATTACTACTAAGTAATTAAAACAGTAGAAATCAGAACATATGATACAGTAGCTCGCCACACACTGACCAACACAGAACCAGGTCCCAAAACTGCGAACAGTCCCTGAGCCCAAGAGCACATGTGCACACCCAGCCTGACCGCTGAGCCTGACGTACCAATGGAACGAGACAAATCTCTCAGCTTCACAGGGCAAGCCAGCTCTGTGCAGGAGAGGAGCTCGCTCCTGCCTAAAACCAGCACACCAACATAACTGCCCCAGTAAGAGACACCCGCTATTCCAATAACAAGTTGTGTTAAGATATGCTTGAGACATTACCTAATAAGTAGCTGTGCCAAGTCAACAGTGAATTAAGTATTTTCAAGGACAGACCAAGACACTGAAAAGTTATTTAGACCCAGTCAAAAGAAAACATGGACGTTGGTGAAACAACTGTTTAGTCTCTGATAGTCTTTGGAACCTCAATGATATCTCCCTTCTCAAAGACAACTGTCAATCTCACATTGCTTCAACTATTTGAAGTATAACTTCAAAAGGTCTCAAGTTAGATATTTTTGAATGCTTATCTGAATACTTAGATAAACAGGTTAGGTGAGATAATTACACAAATGTGTTAGCACCTAAGTACTTCTCGTTACATTACATTTGCTAAGGCAGCTCATCAAAACTATCTTTTTAAGTGAAGACCAGAACAAGAATAGGTTCAAAACACTGCTTCCCAGCATCAGCCATTCAACAGCTTTCCTTGATGGCTGTCTAACACAACTGCTTTTAATTCTGCTTTATACTGATGGAGCTCTTCAGGAATATTATTGCCTTCCCCGTTACATTCTTTAATGAGTACTGGCCTTAGATGTTCAAATTAACTTTTTCACTTGTATAGGCCATCCTACATTCTCCTTTCTGCACTGCTTTTTATATTTCAGGTCATTGGCTCTTGCAACTCTCTCAGCTGTTAGTCTGTTTCCAGACATCATATCTTTGCTTAGCATTGATACAGTCTGCATTTCTACCCTTCGATCTGAGGGGTTTTTTAAATGGGAAAAAAAAAATTCACAATATTTCTGTAGTTACTACTGTGTTCATGAGTGTTGTTCGGAGTAGTGTCACTGCACAACTTTACTAAACGGATTGCATTTGGGTAGCTTTAATATGGCATGCTGAATTCTCTCATTATGCAAAACTGAAATGAATGTTAAGCATGTTCATTAGTAAGTCATTAATAAAGCTCCCCAAATTACGAAAGCCAAAAGTATATAGTTTTTATACATATATCCAGAGTCTACCAAGAGGTTACCAATCTTAATCTAAACAAGCTAGCTATAAAATATCACAAGGACATAACTTGTTCCCTACAGCATGTAAAAAAAACCACTCCCTTTGGTATTTAATCATTCAGAAGCATAAAAAAAAAAGTATACTTTTTAAAATTTAAGACATATAGCACCTGTGCAGTGCCTAGCATCCCAAACACACTGGCCATTTGCTACAGGCAGGAAAAAACCTCTCTTTTTAAACACTACTAAATATTGAATGGATTTAGGATTTATGTAAAATCTGGCAAGTTTATTACGACAAATAACAACTGTATGAAAACACAGTGTAATAGAAACACTTTCAGAGCATGCAGACAAGCATGAAAAAGTTAACACAAAAAACAAATAGCACTTCTTTTATTTAGTTCCACAATTTCAGTAATTAGGAAGTCAATAAACTTATCAGTAGACTTCAGATATACTGTAAGGGTAGGGAACTACTAATCAATCACAGTCTCCATACAAAGAGAGTGGTCTACTGCTATTACTACTAACACCTAGTGGCATTTAGATAGAGAAATGCAATTTCTATGTCCTCCAAAAGAAATTAAAGAAATCTTGCAGATGTACACACCATTAAACAGAGTTTAAGTTGCAAATACAAGTGAAAGCATCATGCAGTAGACTACGGGAAAAAAACAAACCTCTACAGGTGATGCTTCAACAATGCTACACAGTGGTTCTGGGCATCTCACAGCTAGATGTAGCTTCATACACCAATTTTCAGGCTAAGCAAGTAAACAGACTATGTAAAGGAAAATCTACTTTTATTCTAGTACAAAGGCACTGTAATGAGAAAAAAAGGAATTTACAGATATACTAAAGCATCTAAAATATTAAAACTGCTTGAAGAGGAAATAGCAAATTCCAAAACCTAGTTCCACATACATTAAAAATTCCAACAGCTGAATATCAAAACTTCAGAGTAAAAAAATCCATGAGATGTGTTAAAAAAATTAATGTGAGGGAGCTCATGTGCATGGGGGTTTTTTGTTTGTTTGTGTTGCTGTTGTTTTTTTTTTTTTTAAGTGAGGGAACTAATGTGCATTTAATCTGCTAAGAGCTGCCTCACAGAAGCATAAGCTGCCAAGAGTAACCACCAGAAGTCTACTGGGCTGGGAAGATAAGCTTTGATCTTTTTGCAATGTATAGACATTGCCCAAAACATTTACAGACTGTTCCGTATTTTGCATTAAATATTTTGCTTGTCTTCTCTGAAGAGAAAGAAGAAACTATACAATAACTGAAGATTTTGTTAAGTACGCACAACAAACAATTAGTTTTACACACTTTCGCTGAAAAGACGTAGTAACTCAACCTCTTCAAGTAAGACGCACATAATCTATACTAAATTTGCTATATCAGGCCTCACTGCTACAGATCAAGGACTACCACTTTCTCTCCAGCAGCTACATGTGCTGTTGCTGTGTTAAGTCCTCACAGAGAGACTGAACATTGCAAATATCCCATAAATGTCTTGACTAACTTAAGGAAAAATCAGTGCAGAGATAAAACCAAGTAACAACACCATTTCTGAAAAGAGAAGCATGAAACAAAAAAGTCCAAGATGCAAAATGCTCCAGGAGAAGCTTCCAAAACTTGATTCATATATATGAGTACCTCAGAATGGAATTGTAGGTAAGGAATACCTTGAGGATGGTTCACACCTGCAGCTGTATGAACAGATATATAAAAAAAACCTGCACTTCTTTGGTTGTTTTTGCTGATACTGCAGAACGCACATCCAAAACGGAGCCAGGAGGGGCCACTGCACACGCATCTGTTGTCTTACTCCTCTTATGCTACCTTACTTTGCCCAGATCTGCCAGAAAGAGGCACCTTTATTGCCGTTTTCCTGTACACACGTTATGAAGGGGACCCCAGCAGAGCCCATTCAAACAGCTTACTCTTCCTCCCTTCAGAAGTGGCACCCTAGCTTATCTCTACAGACTACTGCTTACCTCGCCTAGCAGGGCTGGTCACAGCCTCGGCGAACACCTCTGTCTCTATTCCCGCTTCTTCAACGCTAGAATGACAAATATTCTAGACCTACAGATGACAGCACCAAAAAGAAATGGCGTGCCACTGCTGTTTGCAGAGAGGCTCCTCGTTTCCACCAGCACACCTCTGACACTAAAACGCTACCAAAACCCCAGGCGTTCATTTTCGCTTTCTTACTTCCGGGCAGGGAAGAAGTCAGCACGTCAGCTCAGCTCCGCGTTCGCTCAGAGCCGGACCAGGCTCCAGCCACCCGCCCAGCCCGACCGAAACTTTCGGCCAGTGCCACGACACCCGCAAGCTCCGCGGCCGAGGTACGTCCTCGGCCAGGAGGAGACGGCTCAGGCAGCTCGGTACGGGAAAGCAGCACCCCCGCAGGCATTCCAGCACTTCGGACGGGTTTTCCTTCCCCTCGTTTTGCAGCTCCTCCTGCC